TTCCACCTGTCCTTTCTCCTGAGGAGAGAGCTCCATCCAACCTTTGCCCCTCTGGTACCCTTCTGACTGCTAGCAAGTCTTTCAAACCGTTGCCTCTGCTTCATGTCTCAGGACTGCAGAGTGTGGCTGTCCTCTACAGGCAGCTGGAGTGTCAGCCTCCCAGTGTTCCATGGTGTCCAGTCCCACTAATCACCAAAACCCAATGTAATGTGGGCTCATGCTCCTGGAGCAGATCTCCAGGGCCAGGTGTACAGCGATTCTGGGCTCCTACCCTCTCCCCACTCCGTTCCTCTTTCTCCCACCTGTAGGCTGGATGGTGGGGAGGGTTTGGGTCCTGCTTGATCACAGCTCTGGTACTTTACCCTTTTCTGTGTGGTCTTTTCTTCTTCCCCAGGTATAGGGGTCTGTTCTGTCATCTTAAGGTTGTTTTCAGGTTTAGTTGTATATGCTCAGTTTTCTTCTCTTATGTGTTTTTGGGAAGAAATTTCTGCCTTGCCTTCCTACTCAGCCATCTTTTTCTCCTAGTTAGTGTACTATTTTATGTCTCCTTGTAGGCTTTTATTTCTAACATGTTAGAATTTAGAAACCTATCTTGTTTTAGAGTCTTTTGGAATAAAATTGAATTCTTTGAATCTTTGTGTTCATATCCTGCCCTCAGTATTCTTTAGGGTAAATTGAATTAATTCCTTTAATCCACAAAAAAAAGCCAATTTCTGTTTCTGGGTTAACCCACTGTCTCCTCTGGATGTATTTGCTTCTGTGCACCAAAACTATAGTCTCTTCTTGAACTTCACACCTATACAAGAGCCAGGCACCACAGATCACATACCAATGTTTCAGTGTCTGATTACTTATGTATCTTTCCTCCTAACATGGACAGTTGAGTACAGCGAGTGGTCAAAGGCTCCAGCCCTGTAGACAGAGACAAGTTCTATTAGGCAAATTCTTAGCCTCAACTGTTTAATAAAGATACTAATATTACCTACCTTATAGGGCCATTGTGAGGATTAAATGAAATAATATAAAGCACTTGGCATGGTTCCTGAAGCCCAGTTAGATACTTAGTATGATGATGTTCCTGGAATCAGAGATGTGCCTTATGAATATAGATTTTGATTCAGCACCAACACAGAATCTCATATTTAGTAGATGCTCAGTAAATACTTGTTAAGCAATAAGCTAACAAAGTTATTCATACCAAATTAAGACCAAGGTGAACTCATACATCACAAAGCCATGCTGTCAACCCTTAGTTGGTTTTTTGTCTTTGTTCCTCTTTTTAGTGATTGCTTCAGATATTTCTCCCTAAGTACTTCCTTCTCCAGATTCACTGAGATCAAGTACCTAATCTTCCTTCCATTTTTTCTCAATATACCTCAGTCTTAAAAGAAAAAAGTAGCTTCTGCATTCCTTCCCTCTAATCCCTATGGGAAATGCTTAATGATTAGAGACCTAAATGGTTTGCAAAGATACTTAAAATTCCTGCTGCATCTTTATCATTGAAGATGAAGATGTTTTAATATATAAAGCACTTGAATTAGTGCCTTATTTCATTTAGATTCTTACAACACCTATGAAAGAGGGAATAGATATTGTCTCTTTTTTCCATATAGGAAACTAAAGCATTGAGAGATTGTTAGCCACAGTAATATGGTTACTGAATAGTCCATTTGTTGTAATCTTCCTCTTCTTACTCTGTAGTAGAGTTCTCTCTTAAAGATTTTTATTTCAGAAACATAGGAATAATTATATTAGCCTGAGGTATCACTAATTAGCTAAATTTTCTTTTGTTAACAGATAAAGCAAATACAATAGAGAATTCATAGACTTACAGATTTAATATAACCTTTTTCTTGATACTCTTTCTTCTAAATATGAATCATCTATCTGCTTTGTTTCCTTTTGGTGTTTTTACTTTTCTCCTCTGTGTAAGTATACTGCATGTTTACTTGTTGTTTCTGCTGATTGTTATTCTTTTCTTTCCTTTTTGTCAAAAACAATGGTTTTATTGTTGCCTCCACTTCCAGAAAAATTTGACTCTGACTTTCATTCCTGCCAGTGTTACATAACAACCTTATGAACGACCACCGATGATCTTATTTTTCATTTGTCACGAGAGTTCATCCTCTTCTTGAAGTAATTCTAAGACATTGTTGCCTCCTGGCTTATCTAGACTCCCCTCCAAAATTTTTTTTCTTTATAAAAGCAATACTGATTCATTGCTAAAAAACTCAACAATGTAATATTTAAAAATTTAAGTTGAATTATCTCTTACCTAGAGAAAACTGTTAACATATTGGCACATATCTTAAAAATTCTCATATTCAGATCTGAATTTTTATAGGAAGAAAATAAAACATTTTATAGATTTTCAGTTATTACATCATTGTTTCGTAGATTTTTGGAACTTCATATCTTTACTGAGGCATAATTTATATTTGGTAAAATTTTACTTTTTGTGTCCAATTGTTTACCTGTTGATAAACACACAGTCATGTAACTACCACCACAATCAAGATAGGGACTATTTCCATCAAGTCCCCTGAAATTTCCTCATACAACTTTGTATTTATCCTCTTCCCCCATGCCCACCTCTGATAGTCACTGATCTGTTTGTCCCTATAGTGTTGCTTTATCCAGGATATCAGATAAATATAGCTTCTTTCTTTTAGCATACATATTTGTGATTCATTTATAACATTACATGTATGATTAATTTACTTTTTAATTACCCAGTAGTATTCCATTGTTTGGATATACCACAGATTGTTCAGCCATTCACAGGATAGCAGTTTCCAGTTTTTGGCAATTATGAATGAAATTGTTAATAAACATTCACATAAAATTTGTGTAAACATAAATTTTTGAGTTTTTTGGGGTATATTCCTAGCTATGGGATTGGCAAGTTGTATGATAAATATAGGGTTAACTTCTTCAGAAAATGCCAACTTTGCCAAGATGGATAGTATACCATTTTGCATTTCCAGTGGCAAAGCATCAGAGTTTCTGTTATTCCACATCTTGAATACCACTTGTTATTTTCTGCTTTATAAATGTTAGCCATTCTAACAGATGTGTGGTAGTATCTGATTGTAGATTTTAATTTGCATTCCCAAATGGCTAATATAGTGAATGAGTACATCTTCCTGTTTGTTTATTTGCCATTCACATGTCTCCTTTGGTAAAATTTCTGTTCATATCTTATGACCTGTTTCATTGGGTGCTCTGTTTTCTTAATCATTGAATTTTGAGAATTCTTTGTATATTGTGGATACATCCTTTATCAAGTGTCACAAAAATTTTCTTTTCATTCTCTTAATAGTGTCTTTTGCAGAACAGTTTTTCACTTTGATGATGCTCAATTTATCAATTTTTTCTTTCATAGATTGTGCTTTGTTATATCAATTTTTTCATTCATAGATTGTGCTTTGATTGTTATATCTAAAAATTATTTGCATAACTCACAAATGCAAAGCTTTTCTCTTAAGTTGTATTCTAGAAGTTTATAGTTGCAGGTTTTACATTTTCATTAGTGATCAGTTTTAATTTTTATATTATGTGCAAAGTATGGGTCACGGTTCTTGTTTGTTTGTTTTTTTCTCATGGATATCCAGTTGTTGCAGCACAATTTGTTGAAAACACTGTCCTTTCTTCATTGAAGTTCATTTACACTTTTTTGAAAATCAATTCATCATGTATGTGTGCATCTATTTCTAGGCTTTCCATTCTGTTCAAATGATCTATGTGTCTGTCCTCTTGCCAATATCACTGTATTTGTGTGGTATCTTTACATATTAAATGTTGTAATTAGGTTGTATGAATCTTCCAACTTTGTTATTATTCAAAATTGCTTAGGCTATTCTATTTTTGTGTGTGCGTCCTTCCATATAAATTATAGAATCAGCTTCTTGATTTCTAAAAAAAATACCTGCTAGATTTTTATTTCGATTGTGTTAAATCTGTAGATCACTTTGGAGAAAATGGACAATATTTAGGTCCTCCTTGATTTCATTCATCAGTGATTTATAATTTTCATCATTTAGCTCCTCTGGATATTTTGTTTGTATTTCGTGGTTTTTGGTGCTATTGTAAGTGGTAATTTTTAAAAACGAAATTTCTAGTTCGTTGCTAAAATACAGAAATAAAACTGACATTTGCATATTGACTTGTATTCTACATCCTTGCTAGATTTCCTTATTAGTTCTAGTATCTCTTTTTATATATTCCTTAAAATTTTCTGTGTAGATAATCATATAATCATCTGTGAATAGAAAGTTTTATTTCTTTCTTTACAGACCGTTCAGGTCATAGTTCTGTTTCTTTGCTTTACTGAATTGGCTAGGACCTCCAGTGGGATTTTGAATAGACATGGTGAGAGTGGGCATGTTTGCCTTGTTCGCAGTCTTAGAGGAGAAGCACTCGTTCTTTCACCACTAAGTAGGCTTGTAGATGCCTTTTTCTTTTGAGGGAGTTCTCTTCTGTTCCTAATTAAAGTTCCTACAATATTATTTTTTAAAACTCCTGCCCAGTAGTCTATTCCATAATTTATATTATACCATAATTTAGACAAGTTTCTATTTTGGACATTATTTGCTATAGAGTTATGATGGACGTTACTGCGGCTAGAATTATTTTTACCTATCCCTAAATATGAATAAATTTCTAAAAGTAAAATTGGTGGTTCAAAGTGTACACCACATTTTAAAGCTTTTAATGCACATTGCCAATTGCCCTTAGAAATGTACCAGATGATACTCCATCGATGTAGTGTGACTATACCTAGTTCCTAGAATTCTTATCAGTAGTTAAAAGAGGCAGTATAATTTTTTATTACTTCTTGACATAGATGGATTTAATTATTTCCATGACTAGTTCATAATCCTTGTTAATAATTTGGGAAGTTGAACTTATAAATTATAAACAAAATATTAATCCTTACAGAAAGCATCATTTTGTCATAGTTACTATAATGCTTCTTTCTTTTTTTATGGCCTTTCTAGGAACTTTTTAGAAAAGTTCGAAGTATCTTAAATAAATTGACACCACAGATGTTCAACCAGCTGATGAAGCAAGTATCAGGACTTACTGTTGACACAGAGGAGCGTCTGAAAGGAGTCATTGACCTGGTCTTTGAGAAGGCTATTGACGAACCCAGTTTCTCTGTGGCTTACGCAAACATGTGTCGATGTCTAGTAACGGTAAGAAGAGAGGAAGGAGTAAAACCAGAAATCTCCAAGAGGTATATTCTCCCCTCACTACACATTCTTCCCAGATGTGTTATTGGGGCAAAGTAAAGGGGAGAATATATTTTTTAGCACTTGTTAGTATCCTCATTGTATAAAGAGCATCTTACTTATTAAAATGTATACTCGCCTCCAAAAGGAATATGTAGACTAGATTGAAATAGGCATGGTGTGATACCATCTAATGTGAGGAAATTGAATGAGCTTTAAATTAGTAATGTGAAATTATTGTCATGGGTAACCAGTTTTTTCTAGGGTATCATCTTATAAAATGAATGCTCACAATCACATTTTATTTAAATTCAGAATTGAAAAACATACTGGTTTTAATTTTACCCTCGGTGAAAATGATAAGATAGTTGTGGTCATAAAAGGTTCAAAACTGATAATTTCATCTCTTAGAAACTATTAGATCTCTTTCTCTTTACATTGTCCACAGCCATTTAATCTCCACAGCCTGTCAAATCTAGGGCAAGACAGAATGGGAGACCAAAGAGCTTCTGGTTAGTGTTCGTTGTCCTCTATTCTGCAGTCATAACTGCCATGTACCATCTGTGTTCTTTCTGCCCGTTACTGTTACCAAGGTACTTGTGTCAGAAATGTGTGTCCTCTAACATTTGAGTTTTTTCTTATCACAACTCATCGTCTTCATGCCTTCCTTTGAAAATGCAAAATTCTGTCATTCTACCAATATTTTTGAGTACCTGTGTCAAAGGCAGGTAAGTGTGTTGGAACTTGGGAAAGTTACATCTTCTGTTTAAAAACAGAAGGAGTTCAAAATCCATATTGAAAAATTTGCAAGAAAACAATCATATAAGATATTCTCTGATGTTGCAGTATGTTGATGTCTAAATGGAAGATTTAGACCAAAAAATCAAATTGGAGGAAAAAATTACTATGTTGGTGGTAGAGTAACAAACTTTTATGAAGCAAATAGAATATGAGTTGGGTTAGATCAGATGGGAGAGTATATGTACATAGAAGGAAGAACATATTCCCAGCAAATTCAGGTCTGAGGCACAGCAAGCATGGCATAATGGTTACAAACACTGGCTTTGAAGTCTCACAATTCTAATTAAAAATTTTCAACTTTAAAATTTAAACTTAAATTCCTACTCTGCCACTTGGTAACTTTATAAAGTGAACTTTACCAAGTGAAGACAATCTTCAACTAGTTGAATCAGATTTTTAAGCCTCAGTTTTTAATCCATCAAGTAAGATTAATTCATACAATTTAAGGTTATTGTAATGATGTAATTAATTAAAATAAATTCAAAGAGATTGTATATGTGTCCCCAGCTCAGTATTTGGCTATAGTAAGCCCTATAATTCAAAACTACATTGGTACTGGAAAAGCCTGTGAAGGTCTAGAAATGCTGGCTGTATAATGAGGATGATTGTAGTACCAGAAACCATCTATCTATTCAGCACCTACTAGGTTGCAATATGGGTAGATGTTTTACATATATTATTTTTAATGGTTATTATAACCCTGAAAGGTCAGTATTATCAGCCCCACTTTACTGAAACAAACTAAAGCTTAAAAAAAGGTACATAACTTGCTCAAGTAAGTAACCATGCTAGAAATCAAATCTAGGATTACTTAATCACTTGCCATAATGTCTTCTAATGATCTTCAGATCTTAATACTTTTCACTTGCAGTCCCAGCCAGTTAAACCTGTCTTCCATCTAAGACAATCAATGTGAACTGATTTGGTTTAGATGTATCTTTCCACAATTGTTTATATTCATAAAATCATATAAAAACATACACATATACATATACATATGTATAAAGAACATTTATTTTTTATTCCTGCAACATGGAAATATTAATTATACCTACTTCATGGAGTTATAATGAGAATTAGATGAGGTAATGCTGACATTTAGTATGTTCTCAATTCCTGCTAGATACAGTGTTAATGCTAGCTTATTTTTAAAGTATATTTCTTAGAATTAGTTCTATAAAGGAATGTTGAGTATGAAAGGAAAAGGATGAGATATAGAATAAGAAAGAGGAGAAAATGTAAAGGGATAAAGAAGGAACAAAAAGGAAAGGAGAAACAGAAGAGAGATAAAGAAATAAAGAAAAAGATAAGACAAGGAAAAAAGCTGAAGACAGAGAAGGAGACTTCAACTACCAGCATACTATGAATACTGGTGTAGAGCTTGCCAGATGCTATTGGAAGCCAAAAATTTAAAGAGAATTTTTTTTGGTTTACTTTAAGTCATGTATATACTTTTTTTTTTTTCTACTTAGTATGTTTTGGGCATCCCTCTAGGCCACTACAGATAGATTTTACTTATGCTTTTTTAGTAATTGCATAATATCCCATAACATGTATATGTCTTAATTTTTCCAGCCATTTCTCTCTATCCCCCACCCCCATGTTGTTTCTGGTTTTTGTTTGTTTGTTTGTTTGTTTTGAGAGGGGGTTCCAACCATAGGCTTGCAGCAATAAACATCTAAGTATATTTATCTTTACACACTGGAACATGAGCCAGCTTCAGCATACTACCACAGCATGCATATAGAAAAGCATTTAAATTATTAGTGTAGAGCTAAATGTGTATCAGTATAGTGAACACACCTACTACCCTGGTCAATAAATAGAACTATATTATTTCCTCTTCCTTGAAGATAACCAGTTTCCTGACTTCAAATACCATACCTAATTTACTTTTGAGATACTGAGGGCCTTAAATAAAAGGGTGGTAATGGGGATAGATAGGTTCCTACTACAAAGCAAATACAAAAATAGACAATTACAGGAGTAATGAAAACCTACATAGGAAAAGCTAATGTTTTAGGAGAAAATTGAGGAAACTATCTTCATGAGCTTTGAGTGGGGAAGAATTTCTTCAAGATTCAAAATGAATAATCTATAAATGAAAAAAAATCAAATCTGACCATTAAAATTTATAATCCTTGGTGCAGCAAGTGGTACCATAAATAAAGTAAAAAGGATAAAGCCATAGCATGGCAGAAGCTATTTGGAATACATGTAGCTGACAAAATATTAGAATGCAAAATTAAGGAGAAAAAACAAATCATTAAGGGAAAAAAAACCAGCCAAATTAAAAAATGGACAGTTCATACAAATGAAAATCTATTGGTTGATGACTTTAATAAAAGATATTCAGTGTTATTTGTGATAAGGGAAATGACAAGATAAACCATGATTCTGTACAAGTCATACCCATTAGTATAAAAAAAAGAAACCATTTTAAAGTATTGACAAAGATGATAACAGTCACTTTGAAAAGTAATTAGACAACAATGTTGAAGAAGTTCAGTTCCAGCAATTTCACTTCTTAGTGTATGCCCCAGAGAAATCCCAAATGTGCGCAGAGAATCATATATAAGAATGTTTATTTTTTTTCTAAATTGAATAATTAATAAACAACTGAAATCAGCCTTTAAAATAAGACAAGTGTATAACACAATTCATTTGGTCAATGGATTTGAGTAGTAATGTATATACCTAGCATTTGAAATTAGTGAAGTAATACTAAATGTATCAGCATGGATCAATCTCAAAAATAGTACTGAATAACAGTATGACACCATAAAGTTTTGTAATAATGTAAAATAAAAATTATTCATTACATATATATAAAATAAAATTATACAAATTGGAAATGCTAAACATGAAATTCAAAGTAAGAGAAGGAAGTGGAGGTAAGGAAAAGTACAAGGGGTAAGTGATAGGGCTTCTGGTATTGACAGGTTAGTAATTCAGACCACCCTTCCATGGGGTAACAATTAGAACATCTGGTCACAATATTTTTTAAAATCTTGAAGGCATCAGACAGCTAAAAGACAGTAAAGAAATACTAAGGCTAAGCAGCAGACTCACAGACTCCAAGAAGGGACTAGCGATTACCAAAAGGGAGCAATGTGGGAGGGCAGGTGGGGAGGGAGGGAGAAGGGGATTGAGGGGTATTATGTTTAGTACACATGGTGTGGGGAGTCATGGGGGAAACAGTGTAGCACAGAGTAGGCAAGCAGTGAATCTGTGGCATCTTACTACACTGATGGACAGTGTATTGGGATATGGGTGGGGACTTGATAATATGGGTAAATGTAGTAACCACATTGTCTTTTCATGTGAAACCTTCATAAGAGTGTATATCAATAATACCTTAATAAAAATTTTAAAAAGTTATACTAAGGCTAAGATCTTAGGAAAGGTGGAAATCCAAAGAAAAGTAAGACATTTGGTAAAAATCCCCCTAGAAGAAACAACTAAAAGTCTTGAAAAACTTGTTTTTCATAGACTTGTTGAGTTGGGGGAAAAAAGTTGGGACCAGGGCCTACCAGAAGGAATGGTGGAAGAGGCTCTAGTAAATCCTCCTATACTTTAGGTTGGGATTCCAAAGGACTGCATTCTTGGAACAAGGGTGAACCAGAAATGGACCTTATCTCACAGTGACTGTAGAGTCACATCAAATCCTCTCAATCCATGAATTTGGATTATAGTGATTTTAGAGTCAGTTGCCCCCTTAGATACCTGTAAGCAACAAGCAGAAGTCCTTTTTAGAGACTCTCATGCTAGTGTTCAAATTATTTCTATAAACAATTTTTCAAATAAAATGTCTAGCCCATAATTAGAGGTAATAAGGCACATAGGGAAAAAGCTTGAAAGAGAACCAGCAACAAATGAATGTCCCACAGATGTTAAATGACTTCACCTATGTTCAAGGTGGTAAAGGTAGGTTGAAAATTTCAGCAGAGAATAAGTAAGATAATAAAAAAGATAATAAAAAGAACCAAATGGAACTGAATATTATAGTGAAATCAATAATTTGATGGGTATAATAGCAGATCAGACACAACTGATAAAAATAATTATGAACTAGAATATAGGTCTGTAAAGTCTAGAATGAAGCACAGGAAGACCAAAAAATAAAAGGGAGGGTGAAGAGAGGGGAGGATTCATTAAGATTA